GCTGTAACACTGTACTTCTCTTATGTCACTGGTGAATGATAAGGAGTACCATGTGTACCTCTGCAATGATCTCTGATGCAAATAAAAACAACCAAAGTTTTGTCACTTGTTTTATTTTGCTTCTTTGTTGAACAAAAGAGACTCATTTTGGTATGCACACCAGATGTTTTTCCCTTAAATGAATAAGTAAGAGATCAAATGAACAAGAAGCAGCAAATAGCCAGCACCCCCACGAATATATAGCTCCTCATTAAGATTATTAAAAGTCCATAACGGTTCTTATTGGTCCCGTACTGCACATTCACAAAGCAGCCTTCTGTCCAGCAGGGGCAAACAGTTAACATGAGCTCTTCTCATCACCATTAGTCATAGGGGATTTGCAGAGATTTTGGTAAGTGCTTTTGTGCTTAAATTTCCTATACCCTTCTGCCTCCACCTAATGGAATTTCTCTGCCTTATATATACTCCTAACCACTTAGATAAACAACAATCAGCAGTCACAAGGTTAAGGTTTTGTGACTACTAACATCTAACCCAATACTAAGACATTTCTACCATCTTTTTGTTGTTTGACCAACACATTTTTTTTGCACAGAGAACAGCTAAATTATTTTCTCCTACTGTCCATGCAAAACATTAATCAGAAAAGGTAGGCTAAGTCCTTAAAACCACAGTTACCATTGCAACAGCATCTTAATATCCGTGTACACTGACTAGGATAAAATGTCTTTTTGTGGTTTTCAATAACTATTATTGAAGCATCAGTCATTCAGCTTCCCAGATTAATTAGCATAAGTAGCAAAATCCCCCTGATGACTCACCAGTGGCACTTCTGTGCATGTGCTCACAAGGTGAAGAGAAAAAGAAAAAAAATTAAAGATTCTCCTAAGGTATTAGAACTTTAGGAACAAAGACTTCTCACAGTGCCATGCAGCACTTCCCAGTGAGAGACCCATGACACTCTGCACAGTATTGGTGGAAGAGGGAAGTATCTACCTGACACATTTGATAGCTCATATGCCCCCAAAAAACAAAATGTACAAACCCAAGTAAACACAACTGCTTTGTTAGCAACTGAAAAAAAACCTCTCCAAAAGATGCAGTCAGCAAGACTATATGCAAAGTACAGGTCAGAGCAGAAATTCAAACTGACACTTTCAAGCTATAGCTGCATCACTGAACTACTGCATTATTAGTGCTGAATCACAGTATCTCATAAGAACCGTTGAATAGAAAGACCAAAAAAAAAGACGAAAAACTAAGAAAAAGCGGGCGTGAGATGCATTTGGCTGTGTTCATCGTGGAAGAAAAGTGAGGGAATAAATGGAACCAATTTTGAACTTTAAAAGAATCTCTAAAAATTTTATTTCAAGAACTTTTATAGTGACTTGAAGACATAATTACCTTTCTTTCAAACTTCTTTCCAACGCCCCCAGAGCACTCCATCCTGGAGTTAGTTCACAGACTTGGGACGGTACTCATTTATTTTCAGCTTAAGAACTGGGGAAAGCATTAATTCTTCATCTTAAAAATCCTACAAAAGCATGAGTAGTTGTGTTGGCTTACAGAATTGACCAAAGATTGCATAAGTATATAGGTATCTTGATCCTTCTGTGAACTGAAAAGACCTTCTGACCGTTTTGAGATGAGCTTACCAGTAATAAAACCAGGTCACAGTGATCTCTTGATCAGCAGTGCCATTCAGCCTGGTAAATAGTGATCTCATCGTAGGATATGCAAAATCTCTGTTTCTTGAATGGTCTTTTGAAGGCTGTATATGAGGAAAGCATATCATTTGGTTCTCCAGTTTTTCACACACCTTTTATCAGACTGAAATTTGCAATTTCAATCCACTGGCTGAACATCAAGCTGAGCATGTTTAATGCTGGCTGGCATCACTTTGAATTACAGGTGTACAAATCATTGCTATCAAAACTGGTAGCGCTGTGGGAACACACCGAGGGGGACAATGACCTCCCTTACCCTGCTGGCCCTCTCTCTTTTGATGCAGCCAAGGATACTGTTGGCTCGTGTCCTATTTTTCATCCACCATATTTCTCTGCAGAGCTGCTCTCAATCAATTCATCACTCAGTTTATACTGATACTGGGGACTGAACAAACCTAGCTAGGTGCAGCTCCTCACAATTGGTCTTATTGCACTGCATGAGGTTCACATGGGCTCTTTCCTCAAGCCTGTAAAGGTCCCTCTGGATGTTCTCCCTTCCCTCCAGCGTATCAACTGCACCACTCCACACACACACACAGACATATATACACGTTACATACATTAAATACACACACGCACACATATATGTATTTAATTTTTGAATTTAGTTTTCTTCTCCTCTAAAAAAGTCTTTGGCCATTCCTGCCTTCCCAGCTCTCTCCAGTACCTTTGCAATGAGTTCCTCTAGCACCACGTGCTAGTTAGCAAACACCTTGCTCACAGACAGCATTGTGGAGAAGGGTGGTTGTTTTTTCCCTTTGCAAACATTTAGCAATAACCAACAGAAACGATTGATTTGCATTATGCTGACCAAATAAATAAAACTGATCTTCAATCTGTAATTGGAGTCAATTCAATGCAAGTTGAAAAAATTTTACTGGCAATTAAAAACAAACAAATGAAGAGAGACTTTTTTTTTCCATTATTTGTTAAAATAAAGGGGAGACAGAATAAGTAGTAAACAGAGTCATGATGAAAACTTCCTCAAAGATACAACCATGAGACATTTGTACAGTTCTTGCTCAATCCATTAAAATTCATCTCAGTAGGAAACAGAGAGAGAACTCAATTTTTACCTCCAAAGTAGCTTTGCAAATTACTTTGCAAGTTTCAAAGGATTTTTTTTCTTGTCAGAATACCAGAAGAGTTTAGGCCAGAGTAAGATCAAGCAGCCACAAATGCACTAATTTCTCTCTAAAAGAAAAACAAATAAATAGTGGAGAAAGGCTTTTGGGGTGCAAAGAATTTGACATAAAAGCAAACAAACAAACAAACATGAAATTTTGCCCCAGACCTCAGCATTAGCTTTTTGGCTTCCCTGCCCTGAAAAAGAAAACTAACTGTTTTAAGAAATGCATACAAAATTTCCCATCTGGATAACAACATGCATGTTTCTGCTCACTATGACAATTTGAAAATTCTGCTGAGATGCTTTAAAGTCAGTGTTTATATCTAAAAAGCCAAATCTTCCAAAGCTAAGGTGACTCACCCTGCTTTCCTGTGATATAAATTAAGACAATAAAGTATGGCTGAAACTCATTTTTAAAGGTGCATAGCTATGTTATATGAGCTTTGATAAGTGCTCTTTAAAATCCATCTTTACTGACACAACTATTTCATGTCATAGTTGGTTTTTTCCTCTGTCAAGGAACATTTAATAATTGGGTTTAAAGCACATAAATTTGTATTTGTATTTTGTATTTACTTGCTAATCAGCTTAGCATTGCTAAATACATACATCATGCAAAGGTATGCTGCTATAACTCATAACTTGCAAGGGCTTCAGGTGCTTTGGAAAAACTGATGATGTTATGACAGACAGGTAAAGAGCACCATAAAGCTGTCTGCTAGGTACAGAGTATGCAGAAGCAATTTGCCTTCTAAAACTCCTAACATGATATTCTCTAATATTTCCTGGCAGATCTTCAGTAGCTAGAAAATAAGCATTTCCATATGTAAGAAAGTATTCCTTTGAAATGTAGATTTATCTTTACGAGAAACGAACATGGAGAGAATTGCATTTTTAAGCTAAGAGTTCATTATTATTTATATTTCTGCTTTGAAAATGTTGTGCATTTCCCATACAACGCTTAGGTAGTAATTGCAGTCCTAGTATGAGCTGAATTACTCTAACAAACCTCCTAGCTGTTTTTGTCCACTAAGAATAATCCCTTGATAAACAATTTTTGGCTAATGCTTAGATTCTCGCTGCATAGTTGGCTTACATTGAATTTAATATAATGCAGTAGGAATTACCGTAACTATCTAAGATTTAAAATATGTTCATAACATTGAAAGTCTCTCTGTTCCACTGTTCTCAACAGTGTTTTCCCCTTTAAGGAAAGCAGTTTAAAATGGTTGCTAGCCTTCTCAGTTGCTGCAACCACATGATGCAATCTATTGTCAAATTAGTGGGTGGCAGCAAGTGGAAACAGATTTCACCAGCAATAAAGCCCGTCACATGATTTCATCTGTTCACAGTCATACAATCTCTTATCCCCTTTCTTGCTTGATCCCAAGACCCTGTCCACATTGAGCAGGGTTTATCTTCATGGTTGATTTTCATTAAGGGGTACTTGGGGTTTTTGAAAGTATGCGAGGAATTAAAACATTTATGACAGAAAGTTACGGACTTGTTTTTAGCAGGGCTCAAATGCACAGATGTTTTGCTAAGTCAGAATGAAACTTAAATGAAATAGACATATGTGCAAAAATGACCAAAATTAAAGTCTTATAAAAGGTTATACTTTTAAAGCCTGATCCCACTGTACGTGTAGATAAAAACTGTAGCCACAGTACAAATAATGAAATCTTTATAGTACGAAGAAGTAATTGTTATGAATCAGCAAAAAGTTGGGGGGAAGCAAAAGGGGAGAAAAATGTGGTATAAAAATAGAAACAAAATTGTCACGTAAATAGAAAGTTAAAGATTTCTAACCAGAAGCATTTTGGTTTTCACATGGAACACTGCTATGAGACTTGACTGATGAAGTCACCATTACATAATTTCAAGCCCACTGGGTGTTTCTTGGTTCCTTCCAAGTTTCCAAGAGAATCCTCAGCCCTGCCTGGTCCAGTAGGGCCATCACCCGATAAGTTCCAGTTTCAAGGCCCAAAGCCTCAGATTTCCAAGCATTATCTCATACTGATAGCCGAAGGGATGGGAAATGGAAAACATAGACAGGGGCTCCCCTCCTGTGCAACAGACATTCTACATTTCCCAAAAGACTTCTAGAAGCCAGCAGTTGCTTTGTGCAGTAATAACCTGCAGGAATGACTATCTGTCAGAGTGTGAGTCCCCTTCTGACACGTCAACACCAGAGAGACATGGCTTACTTGCAGGGCTAGGCGCAAGGAGTTTGCTGACAAGGCTTTTAACAAAATAATAACTAATCAGGTGCAGTATTGCTCTACAATATCTATCTATCAGGGTCCGAAATGAGGATAGATGCAGTTGATTATTCTCAAATAATGTGATTTCGGGTTAATAAGTTGGTAAGTGAAATTAAACATAAGTATTTGTGCTGTTGAATAGCATTCAAAGGCCAATGCATAAATTTTCCTGGAGAGGTAAATGTCACAGGCTTTATTTTTGCAGAATTGCAAAGTAATCTTCAGATCAAAAGGATGACCGTTTCCTCAACTACAGAAACACCAGATACAGTGCACAGCACATGTTTAAATTTCTCAGCCCTTACTCAGATTAGCTTGGACTACAAAAGAAATGTGGCTACAAAACATTCTTGAAAACACTTAAAGCTGCACTCTCTGTAAACTCTTTCCATTGACTTTCAGTTCTCTTGCAAAGCAGGAATCAGGAAGTCTGGAAAAACATAGACTGTTGGATCTAAATGTGGGTCCAATTCAGAAAAGCACTGAAGCTTGTGCTTAACTTTGCCATGGTTTCAAGCTCCTATAAAGTTAAGCACATGCTTAGAGGTTTTGTTGATAAATCTGGTAGGTTCACTGCTAAAACTACTGTATTAATGAGATAATTTTATACATACTAAGAAATACAATCAACATAAGAGATGATAGAAAACAGAACCCCCAATTTCAGAGTTAAAGGCACTCTTTTTGTGTATGTAATCATTCATGTATACAGATCGGTATTTAATTGTATTTCATTTCATTTTATTTCAGACATGTCCGTATTTCATGTAGCCATTCTTGTAAGCAGATCTCAGTGCAAAAATGTTTATGCAGAAGATCAGGTATTTGCACATCTGAGGATCCCTTTTGCATGGGCAAATAGCTGTTTACACATATAGATGAAAAAATAAGGATATATAGATATGCAAGTGATTCTGCAATCTTGACGCACATTGCCTTACAGGATAAAGCTGGAAGAAATTTAAGAGGCAGGAATTATCCAATTAAGAGTCATGTAAGCATTTGGAATTAGTTCTAAAGGCTCCATAGAAAGACTCTACTGCAGTAAACATCTCATCGTTATTAATTCTGTCCAGATTCATTTGAAGCATATCCCTTCCTGAAGATCCAGTAATAATTTCTAATCAAGAGGTGAATCAGCAAATATTTGTTCAGAAAGCTGTTAAAATCAGATTTGTCCTGAAACACGTGTAGTGGAAAAATAGCAAGACTTTATCCACACTCAAGAAAAAAATCAATCAGAAAAACAAAACTGCTGTTGATCCGAGAGACAAATCTGGCTCTTGGTATTTTAAAAGAACAAGAAAAAAAAAAGGAAAAAAACGAACATGCGCTGGTTGCTATAGAGAGAACCTCTTCCTTTCAACCACAATTGCAGATGTGGTGGGGTTGAAGTGAATATCTATGTCTGATAATACTTAACAGCTATGTAAAAGATGCATAAAAGTGATCCGAGAAAAATTTTCCCCCTTAAAATTAGATAATTTTAAGTTATGTGCTGACTGCCCAAAGGAATATAGGAGCATTCCACAGATAACTGAGACTTAAGTAACCTTAAAAAAAACATAACAGTTTGCCAAACAGAAGTGCTCATCTACAGATAACACTTTAAAACCAGTGAATTAAAACATGCATTAGAACAATGACCAAATTTAAAGAATTTACACATAGTTGCCTGATGCGTGTGCGAAGCCATGAAAGAAAGTCTGCAGACACTAATGAGAGGCAAAAGAGAGCACATCTTACTGCCTGATGTAGTAGAGGTCAGTGCCAGAGCATTCCCATGCTCCTTCTCTAACCAAATCTGTGCCTTTTTGTCACGCTTAAGTCTCTCCTGCCGTAAATAAAACCAACTGCACTAACTTCCTTATTTAGTGCAGATAGCAACAGATAGCATATTCTGTAATTAACTCTTATTCAAAACTATTAATAACTTATGTTCAGATTACAGGATCAGCAAGAAGCCAGCTGGTCAAGGCCATGCAACTCTTGGTGCAAGGTGAATACAGAGGAAGCGGCATTCTGTGCCTCAGAGAGGTTGGACTCATTTATACAGCCATAACTCTGCAATTTCTGCAACTCTTTCTCTGTGCATCTTTTGTATGATACAGTCCCAACATTGCCAAAATTCTGTTTTCCCAAACCATGCTAATGATGGCTTGGGTTTGCTGCCTCTCCTTCAGTATGTCCCCAAGCTCCTACTGGTGTCACTGAAGCAATTTGTGTACAAGAACAAATGCCGACAAATTGATCACAGCACCCAGAATCTGGTTCTTATCCGTGAGTGTAGCATGGATTTTGGAGCACACTACATGTTTTTAGGATGAAGGACGATCAGTACATGGAAAGTGAAGAGTGTGCTGCAGCCACCCAGCACAGCAGAGGGCTGGCCTCACTGAGTAAGATCTCAGGTTTCTAAATGGCTTCTTCTACAATATCCCTGTGTTTATCATTCTCAGACAAGCTGGGATTCACATGATGTTGACAACCATAATATATTCTCTGTAAATTGCAATTGGATCTTTGAATCTCCAGACAGTTGAGAAACTAGTTTCTCTCACCTGTTTAATTAACCATGTCATGTTTTCCAAAGAGAATTAATTGTCTCATTGAAGCAGTAAGGAGACTGAAAGGTTCAAAAGAAAAATAAATATGAGTGTGTAGCAGAGTAAACATTTATCCAATAAACATTTTCACAGCTGAGTTTCAAACTTCTCATGTTCCAGTTTCTTACATTTTATCATCTCATCCCACTCGGTCCAGGCACTGGATCTCCTGAAGATACCCCTCATGGGAAAACACCGCTTCAGAAATCAAAACATTTAGACTGTGAAAGAAATAGAAAATAATTCTCAAGGAAATGTTATGGCACGGGGACTGTTCAAGAACAGAATTGTAGCTTTTCCCCGTTTGGTCCTTAACAATTGATGAACAGAAGTGGCTTTCTGTCAGGCCACCTCTACCCTGATCATCTGACGCTTTGGCAGACATTCCCTAAGAGGAGCAGCCAGTTTTGTTCTCCTGGTGACACAGAGCAGTGCATCTTCTTAGTCACCTCTCTGCTCCTGAGATTGGCTGTTGCTGTTTACTATAGCCAGAGTTAACTCTAACAGTCTCAATTTTAACCAAATTGAAACGGCTTTTTTTTTTTTTTTTTTGCAACTGCTTTCATTTCTGCTTTTACAAACATTTTTAACATGACACTAAGAAAGAAATGAACAGTTACACGTGAAAAGGAGAAATGAAAACGATCTTCAGATAGCTGCTTCTACAGTGGAAAGCATTTTTAGTGTTCAGCTGTGGTTACAGGATGGAATAAACCCTTTAGGGTATCCATGAGATGAGTAAAGTGGCAGTCATTGAAATGATGATGTTAATCATTGTCAATTCAATCCTGAGAGGCACTGAGGCCCTTTCCAAAGACACTGAAAGTTTTTAATTCTCTGTAATGTGACTCCACACAGAATTTAAAGGGAAAGACCAGTATTCTACATCAAAACCGAGCAACTTCTTCCTTAAAAAAAAAAAAAAAGGAATTAAGCTAATCGTATAATCGGCAATTATACGTGCATTTCAATGAGAAGGGTTTCAGGTTGGGGTGACTGTGCGGGGAAGTCTATTCTGTCTTTGCAAATGTACTCACCCTTTTTGCAAACTTATGGCCTTGAATACTTCCTAGTCCTTCAAAAAGCTGCTGCAATACTTATAGTTAGAAGCAGGTTTTGGAGCTGGTCTCCTGAAAGTTTTTCTAGCCCTTCAGAGGTCAGATATTCAAAAACTGAAAAAATATATCATAGCGTCAGTGAAGTCAGAGATAAGCCACTTATCATAACCAACTAAAGATCCGCCTTCATATATTTCAGCTCTAAAAAACAGTGAATCTCACAGGGAAAACAAAAAGACAGCATCCTGGCAGATAAGTTTACTCTTGAAGCCTGATAATTTACCAAGTATGATATAGATTTTGCACAGGTCAAATAAATCATAAATCTATTTTAGTCCTAAAAAACTGAGAAACACCTTTCTCTGGTTCATTCCACTTGGTATTCTTCAGAGAAAATTTTAAATCACTAATTGGTATTTCAATAATTCCATGTCTGTATGTCCTTGATCTCATTTTCACTTTTTCTTCCACTCATGCTTCTGCATTTGCATGTCTGTATTTAAATCTGCTCCTGCTCTCAGTAACCAAGATGCATTTTCCTACTCGTTCCAATGCTTCACAAATTGGATTTTCTGAGCAGCAGAGACTAAGGATGCCCTGTGCAATGCTGGGTATTTGAAATCCAAGTATCAGGAGCCTAAGCAATGGGCTAGGCTACATGAACATTTTTGAAAGACTCAGCCTATGAACTGAAAAGCAGGATTTCTCTTCCTGTCAGTAAAGGAAGAGGGCCAGAAAGTCCCAGGAGCATTCTGATCTTCTGAGTGTGTCCTGGTGCTTTGAACAGCTCCTACTCACTAACACACCTCAAGATGCAGCAAAAGCCCTACCCACTGGGCAGCACTGGTGGGACAGGCATTCACCCCATTTGACCTGTGTAGGTGCCACCAGTGTCATATTGAGTAAGCATTACTGAGACTGCTGCTTGTTGAAGAGCTGCCCAAGGAAACAAGGGCTCCACACTTCCCCACCTCCCCTCCTTGCACACCTGCTCCTGGGCAGCCACAGTCTGGCCATGGTAAAAGCAATAATCTTTGCAGCATGAGAAACAAGCAGGCAGCCGAGCCTCGTCTGTACCAGATTCATAACGAGAAACAGAATAAGTGATTTTTAAAGATGGGCTTATAAATCATTAAAGTGACGTGGGACGGGCCTGGAGTTTGTTTTGCAAGCTGGAATGGGAATTGTAACATCCGTATTTCAAAATACACATTCACCCTTACGCTCTCATTTCCTGTGGATGGCATCCAAATTTAACCTTTCATTTCTTGAAGAGCGGTGACTTATATTTATCTGGTAGAATAAGTAAATAGCCAACTATGGCAAATCCAGGGAGCTCTTTTAAATCTATCAGCTAAAATTAAGATAAGTGCTTTTCAAACATCCCCCAGGAACACACAGTCCCTACCTGCTACCAGCTGTTTTGCTTACTTTAGTGGAACTTTGGTGGTAGAGGCTCCTCTCAGTCCTCTGTGCCCTGCAGTTTGAAACCTACCCCTGTTGCACCAAAGAGGTGGGAAATCCTGGTGGCAATCCAGAGAAAACCTTCTTCTGAGCCAAGGAGGCTTTATCTGTAAGACCATCTCCATGAATGGAAGCAGAAACAGAAAAGATCTGGAGCTAAGCATGCTCTTCAGGGACTTTTATAAAGTGACCATAGGAATGACTCTGGGGCCTTAGAAGAAATAGAGAGGTGGAACCACACAACTCTAACCCATCACTGGGTGTGTATCCAAAAGCAGGTGCAACCCTGGCAGCACCTACTGAGCATTCAGTTAATGCTCCCCTCACAGCACAACTGCAGAGCCATGCCTGCAGTGCACAGTCTGGGCGCAATGAAACTGGAGTGTCCAGCCCAGTGTGCTGCTCTGGTGAGGAGTGCACAGGTGAGGAACCTCACACTGCAGCCATGATGAATTCAGGCCTGGCCCATCCTGTAGTCAGGCAAATCCCTCGCCTGCATGGTCCAGTGAAGATGGTGGTTGCTGCAGCACTGAGGCACAACAGTTTTTAAGCATTCTTGCTTTTTAGTTCTGGCTGCATTTCTTCAGTGACTAACACAGTGATGCTCTGCTTTTTCCACTGCAACTTCTTAAGTCTTGATAGGAAGTGACTGTGGATAGATGGGGTTTGGGTTCCTACAGCCATTGTTACTGGTGCATACTGCTTCATTTTCAGCAAGGATTCTTTCAACTCAGTTTTCTTAAGGTATTGCTGAGGATGCAGTAAAAAGTGTTGTGGCTCATGATCAGTTCACATTTACCAAAAACACCTCCACACTGGTGCTCCCGTAGCAAGACCTACAACAGATGGCTCTTTGTGGCCTCATATCACACTACCCAAAGTTTGGGGTCACCAAAAGAAAGTGGTGGCAACTCTCTTTCATTAATAGGAGCTGCAAGACCATGGAAATCTGTATGAAAGTCCCTCAGGGTGTATTTATAGGAGCTCCAGTATAGTTGCCCGTTGCCTCAAGTAACCAGGAATTAATACACACTCCCTCGACAACTTTGGCTCTGGTGTCTGTGCCAAGTGCTTCAGAGGGTGGCAAGGCTGGGGAAGGGAGGGGCTTTCCACACTAGTAGGCCCATCTGAGAACTTTTTAATCCTTATTACTGTTATGTTTCTCTATGCCTGCCAGCCCACAAGAAGGTTTGAAAGTCAGCCTGACCTCTGGTGTGTCTGATCTAGATCCAACAGGGAATGAGATCAGGGAGCTGTGAGAAGCAAGCTTAATGGGAAGTCTGCTGCAAATGTAGCAAAACAAATAATAGAGGCTTGCTTTTTTTGTTGTAGAAAATACAGTGCTATGGCTTTTGGGTGCCAAGAGGCAGTTCTTTTAATAGCGACATTCTTTGTAATGCTGATGAGTGGCAATATAGAAAGATGAAAGTAGGAGGGCATTGTATTATAGTCTTACATATATTATGCCACAAAGAAAATGCAGTTGCTGGGTGGGGATTCTTCACCCTCCTCCCGCTGAGCTATTCATGCAAATTCTCTTCTGCAGATGGCAATCCCCATTCCATCTCTCCTAAATCCCAAGGGGTTTGCCAACTGACTTTCAATTTTCAAGTGGAAATCGTAGGACTGAATGGTGGTGTGTTGAAGTCTTTTCCTCTGACACCTTGCTGCTCCTTTAGGAAGCGAGCAGCAAGAGACATTTTTTTCCAAAAGATGTGTGCCATCTCCTGGGAACTATAGAAACTGCAGGCCCCTTGTATGGAAAGCCCCCGTTAGGTTTTTTTTTTTTTTTTTTCTTCTTCTCACAAGGTATTTATACAACTACCAGAATAAGGTCAGCATAGCTAGGTTTACCCTCTACTTCTAAATTTGTTGAAGTGTTGACATCTTACACTAGAAAAACTCAAATCACACTGAAAATGTCATCATTTTGTGGACTGTCAAATTTGGATGTCAAATAGCTTGACAAGATTTGTCAAAACCTGATGGTAATCAATTGCAAAATAGTGTCAGAACTTAGCACACACTGCCATTATCTTTTAACACAAAGGTAGCCGACAGCATTATTATGATACACCTATTTTGTCCTCTCAGGACAAATTCAAGTCAGAAGAAAAACATCTGAGATTTTCTTGATAAAATGTCATATGATTCTTTAGCATAAAATGTTTTTCTCAACTCATAAACTGCAACTTGCTCATCTCAAACCACAGTCTCTTCTCCTCATCAACCTTGGGCTTTTCATTTGCTGCTATCACATCAAAGCCCTTCCTTGTCAAGAAGACACAAGAGGGAATAAAATGCATTTATACATGTAAACATATTTTTGCATGTGGATTAATAGATGTATAGATGGATGAATCCTCTTTCTTTGAACTGACCCTAAAAGAAGGTAGTTACCTCACATGGATAGGTCCCTGAAATAATGTCTGAATTCGTTCATAAAGTGTTTTTCTGAGTTATGTCTTTTAAATACATCTGCTCAAATTCTAAAAATATTTTGATTTTGTAAAGGAAGAACAATATCTACTTTCAAACAATTAGTGATGACACTTCTGTGCACATTCAATTTGCTTTGATCTG